TTTTTTTTTTTTTTTTTTTTACACTGTACTGCTGTTTGTGCAGCTTACAATTTATCTAAGAATAAAATTATCTTCCACTGTAGGTAATTGAAGCACGCGCGAGTAGCTAAACTAAACAATAAGAAAAAGAGATTCTTTGAAGAATGGGTGAGAGAAAATATTATAGAATGTCTTACCATCCTCGTGTTTACTGGTGATGCACGCCGTGATTGCGGCATCTATGAAGATAAAAACGCAGACAAGTTTGAGAAGCAAGACGCGGCACATCTTGAAACGCATTTTGCCCATAAGCGATTGTACAACTGACTGTTTTATTGAGAATAGATACAAAATAAGTGAGCAATTCCTCCATACCGAATTATCACAGCTGAATTATCACAGCTGAATTATCACGCTTCCGTTCTCTATAAGTGATACTACGCTATCGGTGAAACAATTATTATGCAAATACTTCGGATGCAGTTCATGTTCCGCTGATTGTAAAAATATATCATTAATTGACAATGGTTGTTGTTTACGTTTCAGTCGGACAACATAAAAAATCAATTTTATTTCAGAAAATGTAATCATAATTTACGCATTAAATCCTATTTATTTATATTCCATAATGCTGAAAAGTGATGATAAAAATATATGCATATTACACATGCATATTATACATATCTTATGATAAAAAAATATATCCTTTTAACTTTTCTTTTTCTGAAGGAAAGAATATGAATTCAAGAAAGTGCTCAAAAATCTTAATTTCTCGTTATTGTTATGTTTATTTGATCTTTCATCTGAGGTTAATCAATCCGTTTATTGTGCATTGCTAAACATTGTTTTCCTTTTGTGATAGGCATCTCGACTCTCGCGAGCTGCGGCGAGGTGGATGCATTACCCGAGCTACCGGCCCAAGATGAGGAACGTTTGCAACGCGCTGCGCGTCTGCTGCAGCAGAGATTGGTGCTACGTCAATGGTTGATGGATTATGGCCTACATAATTATTATCAAAAGTAAAAAAAAAAGAATAAACGTAAATATGAAAAGTCCAATAAATGTGAATGCTACTCTTTGCATACTTCATTGCATTATATTACAATTACGTAGGTAATTTAAATACAAACGAGATTTTTTTTGTGTGAATACAAATCAATGTTGATAGACGTATTTACATTGAATGAGGTGAAGTTGCTGCTTTACATAGGCAGTGTTCTGACTCACACAACATATGAGGGAGAGGGCGGGGGGGGGGACGTCCGATTTATATCCTTAAATGTCTCATTGTTGTATTTTGGACGTCCTCGGAATTTCCAATTTAGACATTATATAACGAGACATCCAGAATATGATCTTCGGATGAAGGCCTATCCCAAGGATGAAATACGGGAACATAAATAGAATATTTAAGGACATAAATCGGACGTTCGAATTTCACGTGTTGCATAGGGATGTACATAGTTCAATAATATGTTAGGTCAAAAAAGGAGATCATGGAGGTTATGGATCCTTACTTAGTAAATTTTTATACACATCTTTATTTAGAATTATATAGAATTATAAATAACATGCAAAAAGTCCCCATCGACATCGTGTTCAAAAGTTATTCACGATCAAAAGTCACGAAAATCAATTTTTCGCGAATATCGTTTCCTATTGATCGGACTGTCCATTACGGTTATTATGAAAATTGTAGAACAATTTTCTATAAAAAAATTGTTGAACAATTTTCTATAAAAAAATCCTATATATTTTTCACGTATGAACAATTGTTTTATTGTAACGTATATTACAGTACTGGCAGTGAATATCAGAATGTAATCTCTATGGTCGTTGCGATATCCAAACAAACAGTACCGACAATGGCTGTGTTCCAAAATTTACTGCCAGTACTGAAAATCTATAGTTTACGTCATATTCATTATAGATTTTTAATACTGACAGTAATATTTGACAGTAATATACAGGCAGTAAATTTTAGAACACACTCAATGAGTGCCGTTGCGCATTTGCACTTTCGATAGCATCTCTTCTCTGAATTGTGCACGCAGTTTATGCAAAATTTCGATTTTAACATTTTCATTCACAAGAGACTTATGTCTGTTTCCACCAATGTAAATTTTAATTTCGGTTCAACTTACTCTTCGTCTTTTTCTAATTTTAAAGATTAGAAAATACCTAACTATTTAGGACGTGAAAAAACGCCCCCATCTATCATTCGGTGTAATAAATACATCTACCAATATTGATTTGTATTTACATAAAAAAATCTTTATATTTAAATCATCTTCGTACGTAATTAGAAATAATTAAATCAATCGATTCCTGATATCGCATTTAGATATCTGTTAGTAGATAATTATCTTTTCTTTTCCACTTAATTTCTTTCTTCAGAAAAACTATTTATGAGCACTTACTATTCACAATATTGTTCAAAATAAAAAAATGTTAAAAAGAAGATATGCTTTGTCAGGTTGATGCAAATGGAAGTTATGTCCCTGGAGGATGTATACTGGGTAGAGGACAATGCAGCACGGACCGCTCTTGGCAAGGATTTACCACGGTGGACTCAAGCTAGGCAGACGTTACCTACTTCAAAAGAAGATTTGGAAACTCTCAAAGCGGATCTCTGGAGTGCTGTTGTAAAGAATAGCCAACACCAGGATGCTTGGACATGGGGTACGAGTTCTTTCACATTCTCCTTATTTCCGTGAAATAAAATTTTTTATCCGGAATTAGAATTTATTTTCAGCGAAAATTGAATAATTATTTACGATTAAAATAGTACACGCAAGATAACAGCATTAAAAGTCGATTCTCTATATTTTTTACACGATCTTTCATACATACATTTATTAAACGTTCTCTCTTACGAGTGATTATCAGAAGACTATTAATTTTATGCATAGAACTAATAAATAATTACTTATCAGGCGGTATGCTGATAGTTTCCGTATCGGTGGCAGGGCTGGTTACTCTGGCTGCTATGACGCAGCCCGCTTTGGCACCTGAAGCGAAACACTCTCTTTTGCAATACGTCACAGGGAAATATTTATTGCCAAGTAATTGTCGCGTTCATTTCGAGTGGGAAGAACCTCAGTTGGTCGGCGAAACGATGACTTTTACGGTCAAAGTGAGTAAAGCAATTACGCCATCAGAATCTTCTCTCGCGAATTTATTAAGATGTATCTTATGAGATTTGTTTTTTGTTCCTGCACGAAGATTGCACTAGAATTGAACTGAATTGAACTAGTGTCTAGTCTGACACTAATCTAGAACTGACAGCGTAGAGATAAGGAATAGAAAACGTTCTAGTGCAAAAATTGCATACATTATTTACATGGAAGTATTAGATTCGTGTGATGAAGATGAAAGTATTAATACAATTCCATCATTAAGAAAATTCTTAATTAAAGATAATGATAATAAAGATAATGAATTAAAGAAAATGTTTTTGTATGTAGGCTTACTATCATTTATATATTTTTATTACTCATAAACTTTTGCACTATTTGTACAAAGTCTATTTTCTGTGGCTTAACTAGTATTTGCACTGACTGCAAACCTAGTGCAGCTAATTCACTGAACTCGTGCACTGAGTTCTGTTGTATTGGAATAAAAAACAACGTCACTAACGCCATTTTGGGAACAGAAAACATTTTAATATACACTTTTTGAACTAGTGCAACCAGTGCAGTAACAGAAAAGAAATTTATGGTAGGCACCACTCCAGTATAGTGCAGCGCTTATACGCAACTGGTATAAGGTTATAGATCTGTTCTTTTTAGCTAAAGTTCTTGCACGGTTTATTTTTCTTTTTTCTTTCCACGTTGAAAAGGAAAAGCGAAAAGATGAACAGAAAGTTCAGCTAAAAAGAATAAGCCTTATGCTGGGCTATACTTAGTGCATCCAAAGGGAAAACGCTATAGGTTGCCTTTCTGTAATCAAAAATTGATAGTGTATTCTGCTCTAAATCTGAATCCGCAAAACTTTACTATCTATGTACATGGTATTTATATATATATATATATGTATAATATAGTACATTTCTATTTGAAAGATTTCATTATCAATAAAGCTAAACATATGTGTTTATTGTCTTTGAACATTGAAGAGAAATGATTTTATTTTCACTCTCGCATTGTCTATGAATAGACGACTTTTAATATATTTTAAAATATATTGTGATACAGATTTATAAGAAACAATAATTATGTATCTATACTTTATATACTAGAAGAATACATTATTATCGATATCAACATTCTAATTACAATATTTACTACATACTGAGCGAAATTGACAATGTTATTACTGCGATTGAGAGCAAAGTATAATTTTTATATATTTTCTTTTTGTAATAATTTCACCGTTATTTTTGTTAACATTGATAATGATCCAATAGGGATCGAATGTTTGTTTTTATTTGTTTATTGCTGGCAAATTAAAGTTTATATTTTAACTAAATGATATATTTATTTACTAACGTTTTCAATTTTTAATGATTTGTAATGATTAACTTCGTAGCTCTTTTCTTTTTTGTTTTTTAATTTTATTGAACCTTATTACTATTATAGTCTAAATATATGTGATAAAAGTCATAATAATTCATTTTTAGCTCATCAGTTAGATATAAGAATATTTGTTCGTAGTTTTATCAGCGCAATGGTCAGCCGTACCCAATATGTGACAAGGATAATTTGATTGTGGAGGTAACAGAGGATACACACAGAGTAGCTACATTAATAGAACTGGGAGGCACCGACCCCTTAGCTGCAAATACTGCAGTAGTAAAATTTACTGTCCGCCATGCGGGACAATATCGAATAGCTGTACTTATTGGTTCATGTCATGTTCATGGCAGCCCATTTCTTAAGAATTTTCTTCCTGGTACGTATTCGATACTGATATGTCGTAAAATAATATTCAAAATGCAACAAGCATCATATGAATCACCTGTCTCTAATGATAAAGATATGTACTGTTAAACTTTAAAGTTAAATTTTAAAATGCAAACAACAGTAAAATTTTTCAAATAGCTTTTTCACTAATTTATAATTTATTTGAATGACTAATATATCATTATACATCAGAATGTTTACATATTTCAGGATTTTTTTTCTTATTGTTAGTTTATCGATCTCCTACATGCTTCCGAAATTTTTAATTTAAATTTCAAACACTCTGTATACAAAGATATTCATCAAAAGGTGATATTCTAACAAATAATTATCTCTTTCAACATTTTGATTAAAAATTGATTCATAATTAATGGAAAAATAAACGTTAATTAGTTAAATCTGAAATGCACTGTATAAGTTATTCTTGTTAGTTACGATCGTGTCTTAAAGTATATCGTCTATACGACTAGGTCCACCAGATCCAAATAAGACAGTCTTTGTACGACAAAGTTCTACGGTCGTTTGTACAGCTGGGATAGCTCATTCGATGACAATAGAGCCACGTGACGAATATGATAATCTGTGCATATTTGGGCCTGGAGATCAGCCTACAGAAGGTTATAGTGTCAATATTATTCAGGTAAATCAGAAATTTTCGCAAAAATAAAAATTTTGATATTTATGCTTAAATCGATTGTCCAAATTTATCTTCTTTAGATTGGTAGTACAGTAGATAAAGGATCGATGATAGATTATAGTATTCAACTCGACTATGATTCTTCAAATCAAAGAATTCGTTTAAAAGTGAGCTTTCCAAAAGGCGGATGTTATCATGCAACGGTTAGCTTGGCAGGATTACAGCTGCATAATGGAGATTTTGATATCATCGTTCTCGAAAGTACGTAAAATATTTTATTTTCAAACTTAGATATTTTCCTATTTCTCTTTTTCATAATGAAGTATATTACCCTTTTCTTCTCATTAGATTCCGTCGCGAGAATGGTGCATAATAATGTAGCTTCTAAGGATCCAGATATCTGTTATGTTGCTAAGTTACTAGGCATGCAAGGAGAAAGATTTTCTAAACCAAAGAAAGTCTTCTGCTTTATCTCGCCTAAGCAACTTACAATTAAGGAATATTTATTAAAATTTATTCCCAAAAGACTCGTAACATTTAGATTATGTCCTTCGACAAAGGTATGATATAATCATCAAAAATAATTTTACATGCGCATCAATTTGCTGATTTTAATCTATTAGATTTGTGATTTCTTAGTTTTTTTATTGTAAATTGTAGTTCCATTTTGAAAATTCGACCAATCAGCACGAGGGATATTATCCTTTCTCGATAGACGACGGATGTCAACCTCCCGTTGAACTAATATCTCTGTATCGTGATATAATAGCCGCCACTTTTACTTTATTTCTCTTGAAAAACATCGGCGGTAGTGAAACATTCGCTGACAAGCAAGACTTTTTCTATCATGAAGTCCGTAAGCATCATCAGAAGCATTATCACGAAAAACTCTCCATGAAAGTGCAGCGTGATAAGCTTTTAGAATCGGTAAATGTATAAATAAATTTATGATACATATTCATGAAAACACCGCGTAAAGATGTATATTAATAATATGTTTCTTTTTTGTTAAAAGTCTATGAAAGCTACTAAAGGATTTTCTGTGAGTGATTGGTGCCGAAATTTTGAAATAATATTTCAAGGCGAACAAGGTACGTTTACGTTTAAGGAACTTTTATGAAAATTAATTTTAAGATAATTAACAAAAGTCATTGTCTCATGTTAGGCGTTGATTGGGGTGGCGTGCGACGTGAATGGTTCGAATTGATATGTGCCGCGCTATTTGATCCAGGGAATGGTTTGTTCGCGTCATTTGGGGAGTCGCAACAGGCATTAGTGCATCCAAATCCCAAACGACCATCGCAGCTTAAATTAAAGCACTATGAGTTTGCCGGACGTATCGTAGGAAAGTGTCTTTACGAGTCGGCGCTCGGCGGCTCCTATCGTCAGTTAGTACGCGCACGATTCACTAGATCATTTCTTGCACAGATTATAGGACTTAGAGTGCATTACAAGGTAACTCATTAAATTTCTTTTTTATTCTTACACAAAAAAATTAATAACAGATAAAGTATAACAGATAGCTTTATTTTTTATGGATTAGTATTTTGAACAAGATGATCCTGATTTATACTTGAGTAAAGTAAAGTATATTCTTGAGAATGACGTTGAAGAAATGGAATTGTACTTCGTTGAAGAAGAATATGATAAGGATGGACAATTGTTGAAGGTACATGTTATTACTTCTTGATATTAATCTTTGAATATTTTTGTTTCGAAATAAAATCGTTAAGACGAAGTTCTTTCCATGCATTAAGTTTAAGAATAGAATTTTATTTTATCTTTAAACTTAATACATAGCCGAAATTTAATACACAGCTATGATTAACATTTTATATAGGTGGCAGAATTAATTCCTGGTGGTAGTAAAGTCCGAGTGACTAATGATACGAAACTTCGTTATCTGGATGCACTCGCTCAGCACCGACTTGCTAGTTCCATCCGCAACGAAGTTGATCATTTTCTGCGCGGTCTTAATGAACTGATTCCCGATAATCTCTTAGGTATATTTGATGAAAATGAATTAGAGGTGAGTAAAATTAAAATATATAAAAATTTATTTATCAGAAGATAGTACTCTGCGACTTTATCTCTTTCGTAGTTGCTGTTATGCGGGACTGGCGAATATAGCGTGGCAGATTTACGCGCGCATCACATAGCTAACGGAAGTTCTCCAGAATTTCTTCGAGTACTCGATTGGTTCTGGACGGCGGTGAGCAATTTTACGCAGGAGGAGATGGCACGATTGCTCCAATTCACAACAGGTTGCTCGCAATTACCGCCTGGTGGATTTCAACAATTGAGCCCTCGTTTTCAGATTACAGCTGCACCAACGTTCGCTAATTTGCCTACAGCACATACTTGGTACGTTTTCACTTAGAAATATCATTAGAATATTCATGTTTTTTTCTTTGATCATTTGTTATTAATATTGCTTTCAGCTTTAATCAACTCTGCTTACCTGATTATGAGTGCTACGATCACTTCGAACGAGCGTTGCTGTTGGCAATCAGCGAAGGTACCGAAGGTTTCGGCATGATCTAACCGGGAAAGCCCGGAATAAGATTCAGAAGAAACTTCTAGTCTGACTAGAATTGTTGATTAAATTAATTTACGTATCCATTTTTTCCTCAATAGTTGAACCCGTTCTTGATGGGTAAAAAAAAAAGTTTTCGATAATAGATACTATTATGAGTCCTATAGTTGTCTCATAGGAACTTCTTACTCTACAAGATCAGAAATGAGAGTAACTATCGCACGTTTTTATATGTAGATATTTAGAATTTTTGGAATTACCTTTTTTCTGTTTACGCCGAAGACTATCAGGAATAATCTAATCTTCCGATACAATTTCTACTGAGACGCGGCAATGTTTTTATAAAACGGAAAATATTCAGCAAGAGCAATGTTACCTCAACATCAGAATATTATTGTATTGCTCAATATCATTGTATCGAAATTTAGCATAGTCGAATTTACGATAGATTTTGTGAACATAAAGAGAATTAAGTTAACGCGTTTTTCAAACACTGTGACAATGTAACTGAACGTCGATGTATAAAAATATACGATGCAACAAATCAAAATACATATAAATAATGTTCCTTTTGTAGTACTACTATACGTACAGAGATTGATTACATTTGATGAAGGGAATCACTGTAACAATACTGAACGTTCCGTTATTCAGTATTAATTGAAATACATTCTATCGCATAATGCAGGAAATGTATGATTTTAAAAGAACTTATAAAGAATGATGAATAATGAAGCTAATGTATTAAAGCTTTGCGCTAGTCTAGTTTCTTCATTTTCTCTCGTAATAACAACACGGCAAATACGGTATTTTTAACATCGATGATGGCGCATGTAATATAAGCTAATTAGTATATACAAAATATGATATTCTGAGACACTACGTATTACGTTATCTTATTGACGCAAAATGCTCGCAATATAATAAGCATGATAACCTAGTCATAACGAAGTAACTATGATCGTATCGCATTGGTATACGTATTTATTTAAGATGCAGTGACACGTACTTATATTAAGTAGAGAAGGAATAGTATAAAACGTAGTAATCGCCATAGCAGATTATTCGTTGCAAAATAATGAATGAATGGCCAACGATTGTAAATCGTATTACGCGCCTCGCAATAGCAAGAAACTTAACAGCCTCGCCAGATTATATACCATCAAATAATACTGACGGTAATTTATTTTTATCAGTTTATCATTACATGAAAGGAAATAAAAAGTATAGATTAAAAAAGCATATGATATCTACATTTATTCAATAAATTCCGTTAAAGTCTCCGCTTACTACGTATAGCTCCTTGGTTTCGTAATTTATGAAAAATAAAAATTTATTCTATAAATCGAAATACCACATGACATAATAAAATCGCTTATTCTGCTTACAGTATATGTAGGATATATAAAACTCTATTCCTCAAAAATTAAATATTGACTTAAAAAAATTGTATTATATTCTAAATGTAGTACGAAGTGCTGATGTTTATCTCTCTACTGTCTTGCGAGCGTTTATCCTTGCCAGTGGATCATAAAATACTCTCCTCTTTCGACCTAAGTCATTTGCACCAAACGGACAGTATTTCAATTCGGCTTCACCCGATTAAAATCAGCTTATGTCCCGGAAAATTGTGATCACGCTTAAGTTTCTTAATCTGCGAGAGATACTGATATAATAATGTTATTCTTATTTCAATTCTATTTTCATTTCTATTTTCCTAATCGAATCTTTATACCGAGGATAAATGAAATTATTAAACCTCAGCGAAATTCTGTGTTAATCTCTGCTTTAGTCAATGAAATGTTACAACTAATTTAATCTAAGGCCAATATCACATTTGATATTTCATGTGTCGATAAATTTTCTAAGACAGCTGTCAGACAAGCTGTAAGACAAAATGATCCGAGAACTTCTCCTGCAGCCAATTAATCAACAAACTTGAAAAGCTCGTACAACATGAAATATCGGCCTAAAATACTCAGTACGTATGTTCAAAATTAGAATATAAAGAGCCTGGTACATAAAAATAAGACGTAAGACTTAAATAATAAAGAAAACAACACGTTAGATTCGCTATTACTCACGTTACAATGTTACGTCTTACAGTCTGTATTGTGATTGATCGATTATTGCTTAAGTCTTATATTTTAAATTTTTCTATGTCCCATAGCTTTAAGACAGCTTATCATCGATATAATAACGCGGAACAAGGATAAAGTCTTGCGTTCTCTCAATTGTTGCAAATTGGAAATTATAAGCTGTGATAAACTACCTACCTACGGCAGCAATGGCAGAGTAGCACTGGATAAAAACGCGAAAGTTCGTAGAATAGATACACGCATGATACTCCCCGCGATCTGCAATATGCGACTCCAGCTACCCTCTTGAGATTGTCGCAGCAATCGCTCTCTCAGTTCATTTAATTCCATCCTAATGGATTTCAATGATACAAAAGTATCTCGTGGTGCCTATTTAATTTCAGAAATAGGGCAATTTCTTTTTTTTTTTTCTTTTCAGTAACTTACATTTGTGAATGATATTCCATTTCAACGCGATGGAGCTCAACTTCTCGATCAGCTAACTGACTCTCCAGAGAAATCGTGCGTAAACTCAAAGTCTTCACATTATCCTCGCTAGCTTTCAAATATTTTTCTAATCTCTGTGTCTCGGCCATCGCGATTTGCAGTTCCCTAATTATACAAACATTATTTCTAAGATAAACGATACTCCTGCATTTCAAATTAGAGATGCATCGGATATCCGAAAAATATCCAATATCTGGCACTTTTTTACTATCCTATTGGATAGTCAGATATCATTAGTATCCGGGAATATATCCGGTTGAAATTTTATATTTAAAGAAATTTTATATTTACATCATGATGCAGACTTCTGTTCTTTTCGGCTGAACTTTGTACATAATTCTTTCTTCTTTTTCTTTTCACATTGAAGATATAAAAAAAGATAAATTATGCAAAAAGCTAAGGCTGCATTCGAGAAGCAATATCAACAGTATCATGTCATTCTATTTTTATCATTCATTAGATGTAAAATAAGAATAGGATACAGAACGTGTTCCGAATTACATGAAGCACTACAACGAAACTTGATGCATTATTTGTCCTTGTCGTTCATTAAATAATAAAAAAGAATAAAACTTTACATATTATTTTACAAAAAGGACTCAGAGATAATTGAAAAACGCTGATATTATCGACAAGTGATATAAATTTGCGATTATTAACATAAATATTTGGATAATATCATAACATTCAACAAATATCATTATTGATTTTTTATTATATAGTGTATTATAAGTGTTTTATAAATCTATAACATATGCATATTTGTAATGCTATATCTTATATAGGGTATCCCGTAAATTTTGCCAAGCGCTTTTGTATAGATAGAGCGAACTAAACTGAGTCGAAAAGTCTTCTATCATTTCGCAATAGTTAACAAGATTAATTACTAAAAATTGCTAAATATTGGTTTTCAATAATTTTTTATTCAAATATTATCAACTTTACAAAAAAACTGCAAGAGACAAATCATTTATTTTCTTCTCATAGAACTCTAAGAATTTTTTAAGAATTTTTTATCAACTTTTTAGCACTGTGTTTTCTTATTTTTACCAACATAAGAAAATATGGTATTAAAAAAATTTTGAAAAAATTTTGAAAAAATTCTTCGAATTTTATGAGAAAAAAATAAATAATTTTTATCTCCGCTCTATATACAAAAGCGCTTGGCAAAAATTTACAGGATACCCTGTATATTGCTGCAAAATTTTTTTCTCTACAGTTATCATTTCTATTGATAATCAAACTCGGATGATAACATTAAAAACATAATTATTATCATTATTTTTCCCTTATAATCCCTTTTCCTTTTTGCTCCCTTTTTTCTTTTTTTATTCAGTCTTTTTTTTAAATGTCCTGGAATCCGATAGGATATCCGGAAAATATCGGATATCCGACTCGAAAAATTGTCTTCCCGGATATCCGATGTTACATTGCTTTCGGATATCCGATATCTGATAATTTTATGATCCAGTGCATCCCTATTTCAATTTTGATTTGAACAACCCAAGTATATACCTAGAGGTACACTGAAGTTGTTCCTGCGCAGACTCAGCGAGAGATACCTGTGCCACTAATTGTAACTGTAACTCTTCGATAGCAGATTCCGCTTTTTCCGCTCTGGCATCACGTTCTGTTACCAGTATCTCGCTGGCTGATATCTAAACAAATATACTGATCATAATAGCTTCATATAGCATATATCCTTGTTATAATCTACATTTATAAAATAAAACTCCTATAAAATTTATTATAAATATATCTCAGTAAAAATTTTTTTATATATAATTATATCACTCTATATAAAATTATGTAAAATATATATAATTATGTATAATCCATTATATAATTATATATCATTTTATATAATACTGTCTAACTCATATACATATAATTATAAATTCCTCATAATGTGTATTTATATAAATATGAATAACGATTCATATATATTTTCATACATATTGTCATACACTCACCCGCAAAAAAATGGGCCACTAAGTTTTAGCACAAATTTTTAATATATTCGAGTAGTGATATTTAAGATTTCTCAGGCAGATTTTTCGTAGAATTTTTCGCTTTATAATACATATATAAACATCTTTCACGTTATTGTATAGGAATTTACGATACGAATACACAATTCATAAATAATTATGTATTTATGCTAATTGCATATTTCTGCGATATTCCACGATTTCGTGTAGATAAAAGTTAATAGGGCAAGTGGTATTGATCCTTCTTCCTAGTACGGAAGGAGTATTACATGATATTGAGTCACCCAACGCGAAAGGTGTGACTCATTCGTAATCTATATTTCTTTCGTCGTGCATTGACCTGACGCTGCCTCACATGTAAATTCTGAGATCTTAAAAAATAGTGACGGACACTTGCAGTAGCCTAGCTAAATTAATGAATTGGCAGCATGTATTAATTCATATCAATAAAAATTTCCATCTTATACTCTTTTAAATAATGACTTTAGTCTGACTTTAGTCTAAAGAAACGAGATGCTCAAAACGGTAATATTTTTTTTTTATTTAAAAAACGTAATCTTATTTAAGAATCTATTTCTTCAACAGAAAAATCTATTAATAATTAAATTAATAATTAAATTACTATTAAAAATTCGCAGGATATTGATTCAACTACATCCCGCTATCGTTTAAACAAATCGCGAGCAGTATACGTCTTTGCTGATAGAGGGCCGCGACATAGAGCATTTACTCGAGAATCATCTGGGAGAAAATATGAGCGTAGTGTTTCGCATGTAAAGAAAAACCCATGGCACATACAAAATACACGTAAGATAGTAAGACGTAAGCAGTAAGGAAATCGTAAAGCTAGTCATACTTATGGTCGACCGAATTGAGCAACGCGATTGGTCGAAAACTTTACTATTACTTTACTATTACGGAAAGTATGTATGACAGTTTTACATTGGATTCGCTATTGGTCTTACGGTCTCTTCTGATTGGCCAATTTGGCCTTACTGCTTTACGTTTTTCTATGTACCGGATTAAAACTCTAAAATTAGTCTCCAAAGTGGAAGTGTGAAGTGTTTTTCAAAACAAAATTTTGTTTAAAAATTGATGGACCGGACACCAGACTTGAATTTCTAGAAAAATTAAAATTTTGCAGAGTATGGAATATTCTCGGAATATATAATGATATATAATGGAATTTTTAACCGGTATTTGAATGTTGCTTTTATATTCCGTAAATGTTCCGGAATACTCTTGGAGTGTTTTTTAAGAAATACTTTTGATGAATATTTTAGGAATATTTAGCGTTAGCTGGTAATTTTTATTTGCATTAAGATGTGTTAAGTAATTAGAAAAGACATTCCTTATATTCTTATATTTTGGGCTGCGTTCGAAAAACGTTATGCGAGGATGTGATGCACTTACCGCTGCAAATACTGTTAACCAATCAAAAAAAAATTTACAAATTGACCAATCAAAGAATACTTTAAAGCATTTGCAGCGTGAAATGGATCGCATCCTGAGTGCTTTGTTTTATTCTTATTGTTCATCCAATATTAAACAAAGATAAGATGATACACGGGGGCACCCGAATAATGACAACGTCTGTTAGTCAAACAAAATTAAATTCTGATTGATTGCTTCGATTGGAATCCCACTACCGTCGCAATAAAACACCGTATTATTCTCTTTACATCATAGAGATATCTAATTTCCAAAGGGAAGGGTGAAAAATGAAGAAAGAATGATCAATTGATTCATGGAATACGAAAGCAGTATGCGTAAAGATCGCGCGTGGGAGAGCTTACCCCTAAGAAAGAGGAGAAGGGAGTTACAACTTTATGTCTCGGACGGGGGTAACAATGACTCATCGAACATCAAATCAATTTTTTATCATCACTGCACGATTGGCGAACGCCTATAGAGCTGTTTACGTGCGCACGGGTCAGGAATCATGAGCTATATGGCTCTGAATATTGCTTAAAGATTAGAATTACTGATTCAGAAGAATTGCAAAATTGCAAGAAATTATGATTTCCTTTGAGACATTTTTGTAAAAGAAAACTTAACTTAGAATTAACTGAAGAATCCTAAATTATAAAAAAATATGGATTCCAAAGGAAAGGAGGGGACAAGAGAGAGCATTTGTGTTCTCTTGAGTGACAATTTCTAATATAATTTCTCTTTCTCACTTATTTATCTTATCGTAGTAAGGAAGCTTTTAATATCAAAAGATGCATACAATTATCCGGTAAAAAATTTTTCATACATAATTAAATATATCTAAGAATACAGTCAACGCGAGGATACTGTAAACGCTTTGAAGCGTTTTTTAATTGGTCAGTTTATAAAATTCTTTCTTCTAATTGATCCATCAAATGCACTTTAAAGCGCTTGTTGCGAAACTTTGATCACAGCCTAAATTTATGTACAATTATACAAGACTATACATATATAAAATGTGTTCATATACATATAATAATACATAATTATATATAATTATAAATAATTACATTTTATACTACTACATATACTTTATTATATATACTACTATAAAAACTATAAGGCACAATAGAAAGAACAAGGAATTAGGAAAGGATAAAGAATACACGGTTTCTGAAAGGTTGAAATCATTATTCTTAATTCCTTATTCCTGTTATTGTGCGCAGCCCCTAAACAATCTAAAAAAAAGATTTATTGCTAAAATATCATTGATTAGCATCATATTTCAAAATTTCAAAAATCATTATATTGTCACACGACAATATAATGATCAAAAAATTTTAAAAATAGCCCGAAGCACACTCGAAAAGAGTTTAGGAATTTCTAGGAGATACATAACTATATCCTGAAAATAAAAATCAAAGCATAAATCGGAATTAGAGAGAAGCGTAAACGAAATGATTCGTAGAAGGCGAAAATTGAAACAATGAAATGTAAAAAAGTATTTATGCTTCTTTTACATTTTGATGTTTCAATTTTCGCCTCCTAGAAGATTCGTTTATGCTTCTCTCCCATTACATTCGACTTACGCTCTTCTTATTTCCATCAGAGTAATTATATATGACAAACTATATGGATAGGTGTCTTATACAGTAGAATGTATAAAGAGTACTGCGACGGCGAAATATCTTGAGAACCAAGTATTTTAAAAATGTTTCAGATAAAAGTTGTAAGAGGTTTCAACAGATCTCTCAAATACACGAGAAGTGCCATTTGACGATCAAAATTGAATTAATACATATACTTTTTACATATTCTTTTTAAATATAATTTATTTCAAAAATATGATTGCGCACAATATTCGGACTTTCAACACAATCCATCTGAAATATTAATAATCCTTCCAAATTTACATCTTAAAAATTTGTAAAAAATATTCCATTCTTATTGCAAAAAATA